TAATGCCAGGGGTTTAAGTGGAGAGAAAATGTTTTGAGAATGATGTACAAATGTGCTTTACACAATTGATGTGTGTATGGATTGTGATAACAGTTGTATGAGCCCCTAATAAAATGTTTAAAAAAATAAATAAATATGTACAGCAAAAAAAAAAAAAGAAGTGTCCCAGCCAAGTTCAACCTCAAGCCCAGGGGCCCAATGCTTGCTAGCGTGCTCTTCAATTCACGTAACTGCAGGCCAATGACGCAGAAAGGTAAAGGTGGGTGCAGAGATCACAGGCTAGTGGGTGCGGATCCAAGGTCGACGGGAAAACAAGGCAACAGCTACCAGGGTCAGGCTGCCCTTCTGGAGGCAGACACAGAGCCCCGGCAAGAAGGAGGGCGAAGGGCCAGCGAGTGGAAGAAGATGCCTCGCGGTCTTTCTTATAGAAAGGGCCATATCCCAAGGAGGCACCAGCAATCCATGACCTGACTGAGATGTTGGACTCCACCCTGACACTTTCCAAAAGGTCAAGCTGACTTACACTCTAACTAAAGAGAAAAGCAGTTTCCCACACAAAGGGAAAGCCATTTCTTTTGGCTTATTGTTTCTTGTGAATGGATTTAAAGATCCCCAGCCCAGGCACTTGCCACACTGGACCACAGGTTGGCTACAGGCAGGTGAGACAGAGGACGTGGCTTTCCGTGTCAGTGCTCAGGTTTGCTGAGAGTTCTGTGGCAGTGCGGGGAACTGGTGACCCCGCTGCTCCTCATGCTCAGGCAGGCAGAATAGCAGACAGGGCTAGGCGTGCTCAGTTTTCTCCACACTCATTTCCTCCTGCTCTGCCCTGCCCCTGTCCTGTCAGCTGCTGCTGCTGCACCTGTTCCTTCCACCTCTGCTAGCAGCAGCAGCAGCGGCAACAGCCGTGAGGAGGACAACCTGAAATGGGCTCCAATAAAGTTGCAATATCATCTTTGCACAATATCCAAATAACAGAAGTTGGCTATTATTTCACAGAATGCACTGTGGATGTTAAGCGATGCAAACCTGTATGTAAGTATACTAGGCATGGTGATAAAACACAGAATGTTGTTATGTAAACTAAAACATGGATCATCAGCGTGGGAAATCCATTTGGAAAATAGTCTTTATCTTTAGAGCACAAAATGAAGGTGCAGTAGATCCCTGGGAGGAAAAGAGAAAAAAGAAAAAACTGTCGCACGAAGGAAATGAATCTAAACCAAACTAAACTCACTGCCATCAAATCAACACCAGCTCACAGTGACCCCCTGTGGGTTTCTGAGACTGTAACTGTCTATGGGAGTAGAAAGCCCTGTCTTTCTCCCAAGGTGGTTTCAAACTGCCAACCACGAGGAGCACAGCCCAAATGCAGTACACTACCGAGTCTCCTTAAAGAGGAGAGTAAAGACACCAAGAGACTGTGCCTCATTAAGTTGAATTTAAAAAGAATCGAAGAGAGCACTAATTGGATACTGAGTGTTTTATGTTACAAATCTTTAAAAATAGTAACTGGTCTGCATTGTACTCTGACATGAAGCAGCAACTCTGAGCTGATAACCTAATTCATGTAGACCCATCCTTCTCTCCAAAAGACTAGAAGGAGTCATAGCAAATATGTATGGTTTGCTTTTAGTGTCCATTCGTTCTTGCACCTTTTCCCTTCCATTTTCTATATTTTCTGATGGTGCCCGGCTAGCAAAAGATACAGCATCTGGGGTCTTACATGCTTGAAGCTTAACAAGTGGCCACCTAGCAGAGAAGCAACAAGCCCATATGGAAGAAGCACATCAGCCTGTGTGATCATGAGGTGTCGATTGGGATCTTTTGAATATTTTGCTGTGGTTTGAATGAAAGCTTACAGAACACCTTAGTATACCATTCTACAAATTAGACACTGCTTGTTTCATGCCACGAATTGCAATTCCTGTAAATTAACAGCGCTTTTGCCACATACTTCCTTGGTTCTCTGTTTCCATTTACCCATCTCCCTTGCCCCTTTCTGTCTTCTGAACTGTGTTTTTCAGGTAAATCCTGTCCTTGGGGTTTCATATGGTTGACTAATCAGAGTAGCAAGTTGATCACAAGTGTTACTATCCACTTTATAGGCCTGCCTATTATTAGGCTGAAAGGTGATCTCCAGGGGTAGATTTGGTTGCCGGTTTGAAGAATGGCTACGTACCAGTCTCAGGGGATGTCACCAGTCTCTACTAGACAGTAATCTGGTCTTTCATCTAGTTTTAAATTTTGCTTCCACACTTTTCTCCCTCTCTGTGGAGAACAACAGATGTTTTGGGGTCACAGTCCAATCCACAGCATTCTACCCCCTGACCTCCGAAAAGTCATGCACTTGCCACATGTAACCACATGAACCCCATCGCACCATTCCAAAAGGCTTACCTCAACCTAAATTCAACACCATCTGCATCAAATATATATTCCCCCCTGGGGCAAATTTCGTCTTCATCTAGGAAGCTGGGAAATCCAGGATCCATGCTTCCAGAATGCAGTGGTGAAGTAGTAGGCACACAATAGACATTTTCATCAGGGTGGTACGAGCTCCCAATAAAATGATGAAAAAGAGAGAGAGATTTCCGTTACAAATGGGAGAAATCGGAGAGAAGGAAGGGATAACAAGCACCAAGCAACATCATTTTCCGAATCTTTAAGCTTTGTTTTCATTCATCGTGGCTCATTTTAAGCCCTAAACCTAGCAGAACAAGCTACGTGAGCCCTGACAGGACACATTCTTCTGCCCCTTAGCATGGCAGTGTCACCCTCTAAGCTTTGGACAGTGACCCCATTTCACTAGCAAGGCTTAATGGCAACCCACGCTGCATAATCAACTTGGCAAAGATCTGACTCTTGGAAACATAGAAGACTGTGACCCCATCCTTTCAGACCCAGGAGACTGTGCCCCACCCACTGTAACAGAGAAGGCCCTACTTCTTGCGTTCCTTCCAATCGTTCAACAGAGCTCTAGGCTATTTCAGCAATGGTGTTCTTTTCCTGGAGGACAGTAGATGTAGTTCCTTCTGCCTGCTACCCGCCTGCCGACTTTAAAGACCCAAAGAGTGTCCTGCCCTTTTGTTTTTCCCCTGCACCCTACAGCTTGCGTGGGTTTTCTGCTGTGGAAGTTGAGGCTTCATGTTGTTATAAAAATTATGTAGCCACATCCTTGGTAAAATTCTAGAGCACCCGCCCTTAGCGTGTCCTACATAATTTTCCGAATCTTTAAGCTTTGTCTTCGTTCTTCATGGCTCATTTTAAGTTCATCTCTCTCCTCTTGCATTTTACTGTAAGTGGTAAGAAGGCACCATGTGCCCCCTGAAGATCTTGTCTCCTCAACCATATATCCAAGCTCTTTTTTCATGTGCAAGTTTTATCTTTCACCAAGCATTTGGACATACCGTATACACTCGGGTATAAGCTGACCCTAATATCAGCCGAGGTGCCTATTACCACAAAAACTGCATTAAAATGTGCTGGAAAACTCTGCTTAAGCTCAAGTATATACGGTAAGTCAGGCATATTTTTGCCATTTCATTAAAAAGCATTATCCTTTTAAAAAAAATCATTTTATTAGGGGCTCATACAACTCTTATCACAATCCATACATACATCAACTGTGTAAAGCACATTTGTACATTCATTGCTCTCATCATTCTCAAAACATTTGCTCTCCACTTAAGACCCCGGCATCAGGTCCTCGTTTTTTCCCCTCCCTCCTGGCTCCCCCCTCCCCCATGAGCCCTTGATAATTTATAAATTATTATTTTGTCATATCTTGCCCTGTCCGATGTCTCCCTTCACCCACTTCTCTGCCGTCTGTGCCCCAGGGAGGAGGTCACATATAGATCCTTGTAATTGGTTCCCTCTTTCCAACCCGCTCCCTCTACCCTCCGCATATCGCCACTCATACCACTGGTCCTAAATTCCCTGTGTTTCCAGTTTCCATCTATACCAGTGTACATCCTCTGGTCTAGCCAGACTTGCAAGGTAGAATTCAGATCATGATAGTGGGGGGGTGGGAGTGGGGGGAAAGCATTTAGGAACTAGAGGAAAGTTGTATTTTTCATCGTTGCTGCATCACACCCTGACTGGCTTGTCTCTTCCCTGAGACCCCTCTGCAAGGGGGTCTCCAGTGTCCTACAAATGGGCTCTGGGTCTCCACTCCACACTCCCCCCATCATTCACTATGGTAAGATTTTTTTTGTTCTGATGATGCCTTCTACCTGATCCCTTCGACACCTCGTGATCGCACAGGCTGGTGTGCTTCCTCTATGTGGACTCTGTTGCTTCTGAGCTAGATGGCTGAGATAGTTTATTGTGCCAGCCTGGCTGATAAACACAAGTGGGATTAACTGAAGGGCAGAGAGATAAATGGCTTGGTGAGCCTTGCCTTTCTTGTCTCTCGCTCTGTGATCATCGGACCAGTGTGTGGCTGCCTTGCTTGTTCTGTGCCTCAATTTAAAGGCTACACTACCTGTGGGACGCCTAGTCTGTGGACTGTGTCGCTGTAAGTTGAGGTCCCTTTAAGACATCGCTGGAGCTGGGGACTGGCAGTTGGTGACCTGGCTGGCAGTTGGTGAGCTGCCTTCTGATTGGCTGCTGTGCTGACATAGCCTAGCTCTCTCTACAAATAGAGGAAGATCTGGCAGCAGACTAGACTTGAAGACTGCTAGTCTCTCACAACTCTCTCTCATGGATGTGAGTTGCACTGAGCCATTTGTAGTGCTTTATAATTTAACTGTTTATTTCTTGTATTATATATTTATCAGTATATGATTTAACAGTTCATTTCTTGTTATATATCTAATTATATTTATAAATAAATATATAAAATTATCAGCAATTTGGTGTTATCTCTCTAGAGAACCCTGTCTAACACAATGGCTGCTTGTTTACCTTCAAGACTTTCTCTCCTTTTTTAAAAAAATTGTTGTATTAGGGGGTCATACAACTCCATTATCCTTCTTTCATTATCCAATCACATGTTCATCATTTTGCAAAATCTTCATCAAAGGCATGTTTAATGTCCTAATTTCTAGCAACATGTTGTTGCTGGTACCACACATATTTTATAAGATGATGGAGCCATTCTCATAGCTCCCCTCACTCCTGTATGAACCCTCAACAGAATTGCCTGTGGTGGCCATAATTCTGCCAAAAATCTCTTCTAGAAAACCTAGGCACCTTAAGACTCTTCCAAGCTCTACTATATTCATTACCTGATTCCAAAACCACTTCTATGTTTTTGGATCTGTTAGAACAGTACCCCACTCTTCTGATATAAAACCTCTGCTATAATTATCTCATGCTATTATAATAGAAACACCATAAGCAGGTGGCTTTGACAAACAGAAGCACATTTTCTCCATGGTTAGGAGGCTACAAGTCTATTCGGGATGCTGGCTGTTGGGAAAGGCTTTCTCGCTCTGTGGCTCCGGAGGAAGGTCCTTGTCTCTGGGCTTTTGTTCCTGGAATATATTCAGGTCGTGTGGCATCTCTCTTCCCAAACAGATATTTACTAGCTCGTGTTTGATCTCTTTTATATCTCAAAATAGATCGACTCAAGACACATCCTACTCTAATCCAGCCTCACTGACATAACAAAAACAATTCCCAAATGGCACCCAACCACAGGCATTTTTCTACCGTGCTCTGCTTCCAGACAAGCTCCATCTGCTGCCAGCAGTGATGCCATTGTTGCCATTGTGCCACGTCGTCTTCTGACCACAGTGGAATTCCTGGAAGCTCCCTATCCATGTACAGCTGCAACCATATGTAACCCATCTTCAGCAAAATTTTACTTGCGTGTGCTAGGAATTAGGATTTACAACACATATTTGGGTTGGCCTGGGGGGCGCAGCCCCATCCATAACTGGCAGTGAAGTAAATGGACCAGGGTCTTTGTCCAACGCAACAGTGGGAGATTTTCCCAAGGCTGCTCATGAAATTTACTCAAGATCATTCTTCCGGGGCCTCTGTTTTCTGTTCTAAAAATAAGGCCTAACTTCCAGCATGAGCCCCCACCCCCCTCCAAATACAGTAAACCCTCACCACTTCGCGCTTCGACTTCCGCGGCTTCACTCTATGACGGTTTTTGCGTAACAGCGCATGCTCTGTCATGACTGCCGCTGATTGGCTCATACTGTACACGTTTGATGCCATAAATAATATAATAAATAATAAATGATAATTGTAACGTCCAAAATGTTTTACTGTATTTTCCATTTTTTGTTTAATACATTGGGTAATACGAGTGTAATGGTGACTAAAGGGTGTTTTTTCCTATCCTCTATGCTCTAACTACGAAAATATTTGATTTACAAATAAGGAATCCTACTTGGTGGAATTTCATTTATCACGGTAGGGTCTAGAACCGATTAACCGCGATAAATGAGGGTTCACTGTATATCTGTGCCTGGGACCCCCCACCCCCCACCCTGTCATCTTTTGACTTTTTGAAATTGTGTTCTTTTCCTCATGTGTGGATTTTATCAATAGTTATATTCTGAGTGTGACTCCTGGGTTGATTCTCTTGTCTTCCTAACTATGAGAAAAGTAGCAACCAGCCAAGGGTATCCGGAATTCCTGGATGACACACAAAGGGAAACACCGAACTACTACAGTAGTTGCTAGGCTAGTGGTTCAAACCGCCACCCCAAAGGCGCCCCAGAAGACCGGCCTAGCAACATGCTTCGGAAAGACCACAGCCCTGAACACCCTATGGATACAATTCTATTCCGCACACACAGGGTTTCCACCAGTGGGAATGGACTTGGCAGCAACTAGTCACAGCAATCCACCCTTCTTAATGATACGCTCACAAGAACCATGGACTGAGATGACCTGTCAGGGGCAGACCTGGGAAAGAGGAGTTTCCCTCTTCGTAGCTTTTCAGAAGAATGAGTCAAGCAGATGAGTGAAACCAGACATGGCTAGGGGCATGTAGACACTGTGGTTGGCCACTCACATGCCTCGGAAGGGACTTGGTTCACATTTCCTTAAGCCAACATGGAGTCCCT